TATCTATGTATAGATATATCTATATCTATATCTATATATAGATATAGATATAGATATAGATATACATATATGTATATATAGATAGATAGATAGATATAATTTTGAACATTGCTCAGCGCTAATTTAGAGTCATCAGTAGCGTTCCAAAAACATGCATTAGCTTCTCTGAAGACTCTAAACAGTCTATGAGTGTGAACACTGGTTATATAAAATAGCATCTTGATGACTGATTTAATGCGTGCACCAAGAAGGATGACCAACAACCCATTCAGTTGTCACCCTTTTATTTGCTTGTATTCACACTTACAATCCAAGATTAGCCACTTGCGTTACATACACAGCATCATCATCAATGCAACACACAATGACATGAGACAAAATGTTTTCCATTGGGAGACAGAACCAGGCAGTGCTTTCTTCATCTGACCACACCATCTTCTGTGATATTGCATAATTATGATAAGAGTGAAATGACATGCAGTGCCGTTGTCAAAGCCTACTACAAGTTTGTGTTATCGGTGGAGCATTGTGAACTCAAAGCACCATCCGCAAGTGAGAAAAGGGACAAGAGCACATCGATAATGTGGTAGCTGGACAAGATGTTGCCCCTGAGGTTGCTTTGTTGCTTCAAATCGCTTCCGACACGATGAAGGGAGCCCCCCAACAGGAGTAACCTGATTTACACGTGTGCTTATCATACACGGTGGTACACTTTACAAATCAATGACTCACACTGCATTGTACTTACTGTGTGCGACCCTGCAGAATCTCGCTAAAAATAGTGCTCGCAATGAACTATGCTTGTGATGCACAGTTTCCATTGGACCCTCTCGAGAGGTCGACAGATACATTAGAATGTCAACAGGGGAGAGATCTGTTTCACCACAGATCACAGTTGTGTGCTTGTGTACGTTCAGTGGGGATGCACAATATCGTGGAGCAGTTTTAAGACTGAATACAGAGCATTTTGAAATTTGAAGCTCCTCTTTTTGGTGGTCGTAATCAATTTTAATAGTACACTGTGTCATTGTGGGTGCTCATTATAACCTGTCCCGCACATCCATCCTCAGAGACGGTATTTTCTCAAGAGCTCCGATTGCCACATGTACTTCCGCTCCGGAAAGTGATCGGGAATCCTAATGCGACGGAAGTCCTGGATGCATTTCTCCAGCTCCTGCTCAGGTGTCATCTTTTCCTTATTGGCTTTCCTCTTGGCAGCCTCTCGCTCGCGGACTCCAAAGGTCCGGCCCCGCAGCATGTCAGTCTTACGCCACATCTCTGCCTGCTGCATCATGTGGGCGGGACCTTTGTGCATGGGTCGGTCCAAGGACTGGATGTTGGGGCGTCGACTCACTGGGCCACGGATGACGGTCCCCTGAGGGGAGCTGGCCTCCGACTGGGTCTCGGAACAGGAAGTGGAGAGCTCATTAAAGGAAGTGCCGCTTTCTCCCTCGCGCTCACTTTTGTGGCTCTTGCAGCAGCAGTCGCAGTGGGACGACGACCACCGTGAGGGTCCACCTGCATAACACACACATTTGGGTTGACTTGTTAACAGAGGTGACAACTGACCTCTGTGAATTCCACTCTTGAGTAGGATGGCCTGCTGTGGTCACCCAAAGGGCCAGTCATGAGTACGCTTTTATTTATAAGGCAATATTGGGACTCCTAACTTCATATAATTGTCCCTGAATTACCAAATGAAAATGAATTCATGAAAAAATACTGAATTCTATTCTCCAAGATTATTTGTTGCTCCCCAAAAATGGCTCCAAGAACACTGATGAACATTTGATAGACGTTCCCCGCGAACAGAACGTTTATGGGAGGGAACGAAGCTGACTCTCAGCCAATCGAAGCGACTCTCCTCATTCTCTTTAAATTCAGTACAGATAGGCCCCATCCTGTAGATGCAGGAGATCAGCGCGCAAAGTATATTTAAAAAGGAGCTACAAGGGGATATCTAGTTTCGGATGATGTACTGTTGGCCGCTGTGGTTGGTCACCCGACCCCCCGATTGTGCATCCGCGTGTGACCTCCTCGAGACCCCCGTTCCCCACCACCACTGCCCATAGTTGTGCCCCGCGGTCAGGAAGATGCTATTAAAATTATTTCTTTAATGATAATGACAGTAATTCGTTCAATGGATTAATTTCTAAAATTAACATATTCCAAAGGATTTCCCCATGCTGTTGTCATATTTATGAATGAAATGCACCACACACCGCAGAGGTCAGAATCTGTCTGCTTGCTCCTTGATCAAATCCACCAAAATCACGATACACCACCGGCGCCACAACATAGACCTGCGTTTAGGTAGTCCAAAATTGAGTGCACTTTTGGAAACTAAATTCCCAGATGTACCTCGGGCGTGCAATTGAATATGCAGAAACTCCTACCAAATTCCCAAACACGCTAAACTAGACTCGCCCCAGCTTGAAAATGAAGACGCGCCCATTTTTACACCGAGCGCACAGGCGCCCATCTACGAAAATAGGGTCCTGTCCTGGAGGCCACAAAACATCACTAGATTTGTTGCGAAACACAGCGAGAAAATATTAGGTGTGTTGAAGTCTATTATCCTTTCTGTATTTTGACGGAACATCAGGGACCTTTTATTAAGACACCCAACAACTGCAAATTGTGGGGGGAGAAAATAATCATGTCTCTTTCAAGCCATTTAATTAGGAGAATGCTGTGGTTGTATGAAAGCAAAATTTGGAAAAAAAAGTTTCTTCAGTATCATCACGAAACTACACCCTCTCGCCGAGGGTGAGTCAAGTATATGCAACCTGTAACCCGAGAACCTGGAGAAGCCAATATGACTCAATTCATCGAGTATTGAACCTTTTTTAAGCTTAAGGGCCACGGTACCTGTCAGTGGTGCAGCAGTGAAACAAAGTCAGAGTTTATTGGTAGCATTGCATAGTATTCTGTTCATTTCAAGACGATACTGTAATTGTGTTAAGTTGGCAACACATTTGTAATGTGCATTACTGCTATCTATAAGGGTAAACAAAATTTGGAGTGTGTCATTAGAGTATCATCTTGTGGTTCACACTCGTGCACCCAGAGGTGCCACCAGGGATTGCAGGACCTGTGTCCAAAAATATCACTTTGGGGCCTGTCACTTCAATGCTGCAATTTGAAAAATACTATTTTCTCGGGCCCCTGTCTGTCATGAACTCTGGTTTTAGTCCGCCCACGATGGACTTCCATGGCCTGGCAAGGGGATCGATTCCCACTTTCCATAATCACCCAGTGATTGATTGGTGAGCAGTTCAGGTGTAAGAGGGCCTTTCGGCCTGAATCAGCTGGGATCGGCTTCCAGTCATTGTTGTCATAAATTCATGCATTTTTTTTTTTTTGTCATGAGTTTTATTCATCGCTGAAGGTTAGTGGTACACTCGCCTGACTTGTGTGCGGGCAGCATCGATCGGTTCCCACTCAGTGACGGTGTGAATGTGGGTGCGGATGGTCGTTTGTCTCTAAATGTGCTCTGTGATTGACTGGCAACTCGTTCAAGGGGAAGTCTGCCTTTTGCCCGAAGTCAGTTGGGATAGGCTTCAGCAACCTTCGTGACCCCGTCCAGGATAAGCGGTGTTGAAAATGGATGCATGGATGAGTTTATCTGTGTCTGCCAATGTTACTGCAGTGGATGATGTATTCTACTGTAGTAAGACAAAATTCTGGATCAGAACTAAAATTCATCTGGTCCATTTCTGTTACATGCAGCATTACACCAACTGCTACGTCGAGAGCCAGATATCGTTATCTCCCATTGCTGTTTGGCCCTCTTGAAGCTCTGTGCTTTACTCAGCACTGTTCTTCTTATTTTACTTTATTCAGTCAAAGTAATGTGTGGGTGTATACCACGAGACAATAATGGGGCATCAATTTCATCTTCATAACTCTCAACTTTCTTCCTTCAACAGATCCTCCCACGTTGTCAATTACACAGAGGAATTACGGTTCCATTACTGCCTTGTGAAGATACTGTCTCTGTTTTGAAAAACAGGCCTCCCTTTTCGATGCACTCTGAGATAAGAAAGTACAGTTGTAGCGTCAACATCCGTTTATGAGAGATGGAATCATACACACAGGCCTAAACACCCCTTAATGGCCTTTTTCCAATGTGATAATATGTCCTCAGTTGCTATGATATCACACAGGGAGCAATATTTTGTCCATTAGCTCCTTGTGAACAGAGTTCAAGGGGGGATTTTAACCTCTCTGCGCTCACCGTAATAATGACTTTATCCTAGACACAATGATTGTATTGAGATGATAGTGAGAGAGTCACTAACAGCTTTTTAATGGCTAATCCATGAGTAAAGAGGCCAATCAACTCGCCAATTCCCCCCCCCACAGAAAATGAATCGAGCTGAATCCAGCAGACGAGCAGCACTCCGCAAATGGATGCAGGCGCTTTAGTGACCAGGATTTGGAGGAGGGGGCAGTGTTCTGAGTATTGCTTCTAAATGGATGGATGCTGGAGTCCGGAGGGGCAACCCATTAAGGCAACACACCAACTCCCAATAATAGCTGCGTGCAATTTTCAGGCCATGTAGCGGAATGAACTGTAGAACTTGAAATCACCTGGAGTTCATTTTGAGTCCATTTGGCACAGGTTGCAATATTGTATTTTCGAGTCTCGAGGTTGCATGAGCTTGAAGTTGACACACTTCTTGTAAAATTCAGTATCTCCTTAAACGTGATGGAGTTCAGTTTAGAGGATGCTAAAAGATGATGAGAGACGTCATTAAAGAGTGGCACCACGATGCACAGTCAAGTCATACGTGTGCGTATGTCTAAACATCCTCTGGAATCTTTTCAGGGAAGCCATATTGATCGCTTCCTTTGCTCTGTCAGATCCGTACAGACTCTCTTAAGAGATCCTGTTACCGCCACATTAAGAGACAGGAGCTGGTGTACAGAGCAGACTCTGCTTCTGCATTTCTCAACAGTGCTAAGCTAAATTCCATCTTTTATGAGAGCAGGAAACGTTGTCCTGACGGGGGGTCTCATTTTGCGGAAATTCACCAACTTGGATGCTCATTAAAATGACACTTTTGAGCTGGTAAATTATCCTAAATGGCAGAAGAAGTAGGACATGACGTGGACTGAAGGCAGGGGGCTCCGACAAACGCAAATGTCACTGGGCTTGTTTGCTTGCCTCTAAATTAACACACTTCTTGCAGATACTCTGTCACTGGGAAAGCAGTTCTGGGGCTTGGCCTAAAAGGTTAAACACAAGAATATTCTGTTCTGAGTCCGCCTCTGCTAAATATGTCTCCTATGTGCTACAAAACGAAAACTGCCATCGCTATTTGAACCGCTGTCATACACAGCGACATATGTCACGAGACGAGAGCTCAGTTCAGAGAACCTGAAAAAATTAAATATACATGTCTGTTCTGCTTTTTCTTTTATTTTTTTTGCAATATATTCCAAAAGAAGGAGAAGCCTTAACAGAAGCTTTTAAGAGAAAAAGAATATACACCAGAAGTTATGGACTAAAATAAGAAATTGGGAATTGCAGATGACCTCAGGCGAGGCACTGAACCCCCATGACTTATCATGCAGTGCTTTTTGGACTTGTTTGTTCCTTTTTCACTTGTTTTAACCGTCAAAGAACTTTACATTGAGCTCGGCTGCACTATGTTTGTGCAAGTGAGCATTTCTGCCCTCTAATGTGTATAACTTGTAGCTCCAGGGCTCAAATAAACCATTCCTCATCTCCTTGATTAAATGTATTTTTGCAAAGGGTGAAATGGATTCAGGGCGGCTTTAATATCCACTGAGAATGGTTGCACTGCATTTGACAAAATGATGCTTCTTACCAGGCATCGTTATAGTCCTATTTGTATTTTTGTACTTTACCACTATTGATCTGCAGCATTGGGAACAGTCATACATCCATATTTTTAAAAAGCAGGAAAAAAAGGAGGGGTACATGCATCGTGATTTTTAACATCTTAAATGATCTAAAAACTGATCTGCATGCAAACTCGAAGAACATTTGATTCTTGCGGTCAGTGTAACTGAAAAACATCATCTTCCCACCAAAGCAAACAACCAGCATAAGAAAGAAGTCATTGTACTACATATCATACCACCCACAGGCAAGGTTTCATGTAAGAAAGTGTACACATATGCCAGTCTTATCCAGCACACTCATATTACAAGCTTAAAAGCCATTTTTAGACATTTAATTAAGAATTATTTGTGTCATTGTGCTTTTGAGCTCTGTCAGTGCCAAGAGAAAATTCCCAGAATCTTGCAGCCCTACTCCTCTATCGCGTGAACTTCAGATTTAACATGGCAATCATGGCGCCCATGGCTCAGCAGAATTATTAATGTTGACCACGCACATAAGGATTCTCAATATAAATATAAATAAGTATTTAATAGGTTAAACATTTATGATTGTTAGCCCTGACTTCTTTTCCGGACAGATTGGGGAAGGAAAATCTCTCTACAGTGTGCCCACCGTAGATGAAACAATATCTTGAGAGTGT